GCAACAACACATGCATTTGAACATCTGAAGAGGGTCATGTCTAGCGTCCCGGTATTAGCACTTCCAGATTTCAATAAACCATTTGTGGTGGAAACAAAAACATCAGGGTACGGATTAAGAGCAGTGCTCATACAGGATCAGCAACAAATTACCTACTTCAATTAGGGTTAAGCAAGGCTAAAGTCAATATATGAAAGGCAATTGATGGTGATTGTCTTGGACATTTAGAAGTGGCGGCCCTGCCGACATTTTTTTGGTTAGGACAGATCAAAGAAGCTTAAAGTATCTTCTAAAGCAGCAGATGGTGACTGGGGAGCATTAGAGATGGCTATCCATGCTACTGAGGTATAATTTCGAGATTCAGTACCATTCAGTATTGGAGAACAAAGTGTTTTTAAGTGTCATGGATATGGACAAATTACATTCAACCGCCCAAATAGAAGAGTGATGTTTTTTACAGAGCAGGATGCGGTGGAAGAAGTAAATAGTAGACTTTGGAAATGAGAAGAATGAGGAGTACCAGCTAACTGCAGATGATGACAAAATGCTTATAGTTCAACGAGTTTTCTAGATAGAATTTAGGATGAAGAAGAATGGTTTAGGAATAAATTCATTATACTCATTAAACAGTGAAGTTGAAGGAGTACAACTTAATTAGAAACAAACACAATTATGAGAATGTGGTATCTATATACATGGTGGGAAAATTGAGATTATTATTCAGAAGCACCCTCAAATATATTCTCAGACTTAACTGAAGAAAGAGAATGAAATCATTATTGAAAAGAGATGACTTTTAGATTTCTTCATTAAAAAGCAATTGCAAAGTTAGGTGTCGTGTGATGTCGTATCGATGGATGCACGTACATTTATTAGGCTGATCATGGCAATATAATAGGAGTATATTTCACAATAATCACAAAAATATCTACTCATTTAATAAGAACAAAAAGCATATTGTACTTATATCTTCGAAGGAGTCAGCAAAATAGTTAGACAAAAATGGGAGTTATAATGTCTCGTGCAATATTTCTACAAGCTATGAGAGAGACGCAATTGAGACTGCCCTTAGTGATTTTGGAGTATAGTAAGAAAATAAGAGTCAACATGTGAGGCAATGTAATCTCTATTAGAGAAGATTTGGGATGTTCTGCCTAAAAGCCCACCTCTTGAACTATCACCCCTGTGTGAGATTCAACATACATACATCTCATCCCAGAATTAGAGCTCCCCAATTAACCAGTCTATCAGATGTGACCAGGTGAGAATGAGAAGTTGCACAAGTAATAAGCAAAGGGTTAGTTCATTAAAGTGCCAATCCTTACGCAATAACAGCAAAGATTGTGCCCAAGAATAATGGTCAAGTGTTGATTCCCCCAACAAAAAATTGGATGACTTGTTGGGTCAATTGTATAAAGACAGTATATTTTTAAGAATGATCAACACAGTAGATAACAACAAGTTTGGACGAGATCGAGAATGAGTGGAAGATTGCATTCAAGGTGCGAGATGGATTGGGTGGGTGGACAATTATGCCTTTTGACCTGTCTAATGCACCAAATATTTGTGAGATTGATGAACCAAGTTTTTTCAAACTTTTATTAGACAATTCATGTTTTTGTACTCTGAAGATATCCTGATGCAAAACCATTCAGAGGAGAAACATTTGTAGCACTTGTGATTAATTTTAGAGTTTTTCAAATAAATTAGTTGCATGGTCATCCGAAGAAGTGCCACTTTCTGACCCAGCAGACTAGCTTTTTTAAGTATATTGTGTCAATGGTTAACATTGAGATGATCCCAATTAAGATGGATGCTACTATGAATTGGCCTAGCCTATAATTATTTTACGAGTCATACAATGGAGGGATGACAGGACATTTTGGCAAAGATAAAACTATCTATAGTGAAAGAGAATTTTATTGGCCTGATTAGTACATAATATAAAAGTACATGACAAACATTACTGAATATATCACTTAACTAAGCTTGAGGGCAAAATACGAGCCATTATAGTCCATTACCAACTTCACAATTATTTTGGGTAGACTTGAGCATGGACTTTGTGGTGAGGTTATCCTAGAAATAGTGAAAGACTTTGATATGGTATTGGTATACTACTACTCCAAAATGACATTTGTATATTGTTACAAGTTGATGGATGATTCGCATATTACACACTTAAACTATAAAAAGATAGTCCATTTTTATGGTGTAACCAAGACCATAACTTCAGATGGAGATATAAAATTTATAAGCCACTAATGAAGAACCTTATGGGACAAGTTAGGTGCAAACATCAGTTCAACTTATCCACAAAATGATGGATAGACAGAGATGGTGGAATTCAAATTAGATAATCTACTAGGATATTTTGTAGGCCAGAACATCAAGTAATTGGACTTGACCATCCCCCAAGTTGAGTTTACTCATAACCACTCCACTAGCAAGTATACAAAACACGATCACTTCGAGATGATTTATGAGAGTACTCCTCTCATCCCACTAGAGTTTAACACTAAACTCCTTGCTATTGACCTTAGTGTTGATGCAAAAGCTAGATTGAAAGAGATTCAATCTTTACATGAACTGGTAAAATATGAAATTACTAAACAAAATACTATATATCAAAAGCTGGCAAAAATTCCATGAAAGACTAAGTCTATACAGAAAATGATTTCGTATTTCTCACAAGCACTTTTTGGAAACTCAAGCCTAAATAGGGCAAACCTTCATGGTTATCAAAATGATTAATACCAATGCGTTTTAAATTGACCTGTCAGGAGACTACAATATTTTTGTTACCTTCATCAATGTTGATCGATGCCTACTACAAGGATCCAAATGCCTCTAGTGAAAAAGGCAAAAGCTCCTAACTGGGAACAATGACACAGGAGTCACTGGATCTAGCAATAAGGAGACAAACAAACCTCTTTATCATGCTACTATTTCGATTTTGTTTTCCCGCCTTAGGGTGGGGAGACCAACACTACAAGAATTATTACTTTCCTATTTTGCAATAGACTTGAGATTTAATAATGTTTTAGTAACTATTCTATATTGAGACTAGCAGAAAGACTTTTGCATTAGTTTTATAATATTAAGATTTATTTCTCTAAATCTCTCCTATTATGAGAGTTATAATACATTCTTCTTCAAGTAGTGAGTTTGTATAGAGAGAACGGGTGATGTAACTTTCCTACATCCCCCTCATCATAATATAAACAAAACCAACGCTAGAATCAATCCTTATGTACCATATAGGAACCATGGAATGGTGATAGTCGAACCAAGCAAATCATGAAAGTGGCCCTCTTAATCCCTACTCCTAATTATTAAGCCCTAGATGTAATACTCAATCTACTAGTTGATCGAGCCATCATGCTAATTGGTTATAAAAATTCTTTGTTCAGGATATAATTAGCCATGAATTTTGTCATACACTAATTTGAAAATTCAATATTATTACCACATATTTAGTTATTATTGTTGGGCTATGCTAGATATTCTCTTAAGAGTTACCGTCAATTTACCCCACATTTTATCAATTGACTGAAGCAATTCCTGTATGGTTATGCTAGATTTTTTAATAATTCACAGTTGCAATTTACAGTCTTTTTTTTCTTGATTTCTAGTTTGCAAATTTGATATTATAGTAATGCTCAACAAATTTTTTTCCTTCTATTTCCCATATATTGCATCGCAGCTTAACTTGGAATCCTTAATTTTTGCTGAAACTATGGTATGAAGCAAAAATTGGGTGGAATGTATATAAATGGCCCAATTATTTATTAATAACTTTATGTGAAAAGTCAAATGCTCCTTTGATTTTTAGCTTGTTTATTAACTAATTGAAGTACTTATTCAATAATATAAATAAGTCGTGTACAAGCCAAGTACAATTATTAAGAAAGTTAAACAAGTATGAATATATATATATATATATGAAAGCTCGGCCCAAGCTCAAGCTTAATATGAACAACTGACCACATGACCAAACTAAGTCCAATCCATGAGATACTCGACTCAACTCAACTCGATACAACCAACATATGACATTAAATGTAGAATCTTCAAGCACTTGATTTACAAATATTGACAACAAGTTCCTCGCAAGCATTTGTAAGTAGATTATTTATTTACCATAAAAAAATATTTCTAGATACCTACTTCAAACATCATGAAAAAGTAATTATGGTTATAATGAAACAAATTTGATTTGATAAAGCATTTTTTGTTTTTCCGAAATGAATATATTCATACTTAAAATTCATTCACATCTTCATGAAAAAATTGGTAGATGCTTTCAGAATTATTGCTCTGATCATTTATATTGGGGATAAATGATTACAAAAAGTTATTATTCATTTGACTAACTACAATTTGCTAATTCATCTCAACCTTTGAAGATGTTTTTATTTTTTTTTTTTTTTTTTTTTTTTTTGTTTGTTCAGTGGGTGGGTTGTGACACCATTATTGTTTCTCTTCAAGTAGTAGGTTACTTATCTTATTGCAAAACTAAGTCTCACAAACTACTTGTGTGCCGGAGTATCGGAGACCTCAAAGATTACTTTGTGACATGCATTGTAGAAAGGATCAATTCCTAATCGTTGGTGCCCATCAAGTCTTTGCTTTAAGGAATCATCAAATTCTACCCACCATGTGAACTGAAGAATAGGCTCTAGATGGCCTGCTTGACTAATGTGCGCATGAGTTAAATACATAGAGCAAATTGGACAATAATCAATTCACATCCCATAATGGCACAAATTTATAGTCCACAATTTGCATTTTTGGTTTAGTTAATTACTTCTATCATAAAATTGTATTTAGTCTTCGTTGTCAAAAAAACGCTAAAATCATTGAAATTTAGATACAATAAATATCCTTTGATATTGAATCACTTCAATTTGATCATGTAACTGAATCTGAGCACACATAACCAAGTGAGGATTGAAAGTCCTAAAAATTAGACAATTTTGCAAAAATTGTTTGCTTGCCTCAAGAAAAGGGGATAACTGATCTTTATTGTATGTTAGCTCATCAAGAACCGTGTCTATAATAGGAATCCTGCTTAACAAAACAATTAAAAGAATTAGACCGGTAAGATGCTAAAACATTGCCTTGTTCATGAAAGTCATTTAAAAATAGAACGAAACTAGATATATTAATGCACCATTTTATATAATAAATTGCTTAAATATATAATAAAAATATGTACAGTGAGATTGATTAATTCTGTAATCAGTGATTAGAAATCATAAATAATTTATCATAGAATGGTGTTATATAATAAAAAAACATTCTATGCTCCTTTAAATGAATGCACGCATATTTAATAAATGAATTTTTTTAAGAGAGAAATAAGATTGAAGTTATAAAGTATATTAAATATCAAAATAGTCCCCTAATAATTTGGTTATGTTTAAATTAGTACTAGAGTACCGCATTTCTCTAATATAGCACCTTGTTTATATAAATTTTATCAAAAATGAATCTTCGGACAGAAATTATGATAAAAAAAATTAATCTCAATTTAATCCCTCAACTACACAAAATTGACCCAACTTCAGTTATGAGCGACCATTTGAGATCAATCTTACTCTAAAACTAAATTGATCGCAATCAAATAATCAGAGGACTATTTAGGAGTTTAATACCGAAAAAAAAAAGGCTCTTCTCCATCAAAAAAGAGTATGAAACCTGAAGCCATCTGATCTTGAAGTTAAACCAAATGTATCAGCTTCTTTCCTAATCACATCAAGCTCCATGATCTGGTGATAGAAAAAATTAGGCTTAATAGCAGCAATTGTAAAGCAATATACGAAAAAAATAAAAACCAAAAAGATGTCAAGAAAAGCATACCAAGATCAACAGTTTTTGTGCAGCATCACAAGTTTTTCTTTGAATTTCAGGGAATGCAAAGGACAAACCAACATAGCAACTAGTGGGTAGATCAGCAGAAATGCCATCTTTGTCACTCAAATCTTTAAAACAGATGTTGGTCTTATGAAAAAATCTAGTAGATATGATTGACATGCAACCATGGACTATACTTTTATAGTTCATTTTTCTATATGCCTGAAAATAATTTCAAACTCAATAATATTTTCTGGTCATTACCCGAGAAAATATATCAAACAAATGCATCTTAAAAATTGATGACAAGACTACGATGGGACAAAGAAAGTTCATCATACAGCTAAACTATATACAAATTTGAAATATGTGGAGTAAAAAATCAAATACCACAAGCTTGCAGAGCACGGATTCCTTTAAAAAGTCCCAGTTAAATGTTTCTGAAATCGCCTCAAACACAAATCAGAATGATAGCAAAATAAAAAGAAAAAACCATAGAATAAATATGTTTTACTTACCCTTACAGAAAGTATGACGAGGTAAGAAATCAGCTTCAAGTGAACGAACAACATATTGAAACAAGAGCATGTTCTGCACAATCTGTACGAATAAAAGATTTATCCCAACTTGCAAGAAACAAAGCAAAATTTCACAGGATGATAAAGCAGAGGTGACTACAAAGTACAAAGCTCCACTGTTTAAGAACTACTAAAATTGAGCGTCCATTCCATTTATACAGCTTTAAGTCGTCTTAATGCACCAAGAAAATTAACCATTTATAGTTTCAAAATTCAGCAGCAACAAGAGGCTCAGTAATAGCAGTTGTAAGCAGCAACAGTTTCATACAACTAATTTATCATTTCAGATATGATTTATAAATTATCATATGTGATAGAATAAAATGTGCTTTATGGTACATATGGATTTGCATAACAAAATGGTCCTTCTCAGTCCCTGATTTAGAGTAACTTGAGCTACAACCAGGTCCAAGTTATTTAATTCAAACATCTCTCTAAATCTTGTGATGAAATTCTTTAGTGTCTTGCCTAACTTTTACCTTATTTATAACAAAGCTCATGACTTATGGTGTGGTCGCTGCATGCTGGAGAATTGGGTGATAAAAGCTCTCTTGAAGTTGACAAATAATGTCATCATTCTGAGTAGCAAGAGAAAAAAAACCACCAAAGAGTCGACTATTTAGTAGTTGTGAATATTAACCTGCAATCCAGTGCATCATGGATGTCAAGCAGCGAGGCAAATAATTCAAAACAAGCAACATGGCCGGGTCGGATCAGTTATGTCTCGGACTGAGTCTCAAGTACTGGATATAGAATTGAGGAGTGGCTTAGCCTTGGCAATCTCTCTTGAGAAGGCATTTTTCTCTTGAGAAGGCATTTGATAGTTTCCTCTCAAGCTGATGAGATTAGGGACTCCAATCCTCTTCTTTCGATTCATAGTAATAAGTTTTGTCATCAGTAAAGGGTGGTGGATTTGCTCTAGAATTTCTCCTTTTGATTGGAATGTCAGAAAAATTATTGGGTAACTCCGTCCTGGGAGTAGTTATAGAGATACGCTCCAGAATCCCCTTTGAGATCACTTTTTTCACGTCTTTTTTCTGTCATAGCAAGATTCGTATTTAGAAACACCTAGTACTCCATATTCACTAAAGTCCTCTTGGTTAGTGCATTCTCTCCTATTTCTCCCACTTCCTCTATCCCTTCCAAACCTCTCTTCACTACCCAACTGACCCACCTCTCGCTCTTCCTCTCTATCCCTCTTTTTAGTAGAGAATCAAAAAAATGGGGAAAATATAAAAAATTAAAAAGAGAAGAAATACAAAAAAATAAAAAGAACAACGAAAAGAAAAATAAAAGAATAAGTGAATAAAGAAAAAAGCAAAATAATTGCATGTATTTCACTAATATTTACCTTCAAGTTAAATACTGTACCACATTTTTTCTATTTTATATCAACTATTAAGTCAAACTTTATGTTTTATAATTTCTTATGAATGAATTTACATATTAATAATTTTGTATAATCTATTAATGCTTTGGTTAATAAAAACACCGCTTCGCTCTGTATTTTGGAATCCTCAAGAGCACCCTTGATGAACTAAACCTGAACTTGGGATGAAATGAACTACGGAGGGCATCTATTTATACAAAAGGAATGACCCTTGTTGGGATCACTTGAACAAAAGAAGGGTCTGATACATTTGCAATGCATTAAAAGCCCAAGAAGCAAAGTACCTCCTAATAATAACAATTGAATCTACAAACTAACATACACACAAGAGAACAGCATGTGCCCGATAATGGACTCAAAATGCAAATTTACATACACTTTTTGATGAGCGTTCAATCACATGAATGACCGCCACTACCAATTATTGTAACTTTTAAGTGGATGTGTTCATATTCTTTCCAATTAAAACTAAGACTATAAAATCCATTGCATGCCACAGTTTTTATGATTCCTTAAGCAAAGTGCACGTTAATTTTTAAAAGTAAATAGTGCACATTTCAAGTAATAGTATGCTTTATAAAAGACAATATATTCTTGCAAGCAAATTTGTTATTAAAAAACAAGCGGTTCAACGCTTTTTTTTTTCACATATGTCATTGTAATTTTGAAGAGGCGTGCAAAACAAGTTAAATCACAAAAGTAAATATGTCCTTAAGTGCACCAAAGAATGTCTTAAATGATCAAACTAATGTTTGAAAATGTTGTGCAGATGAATACATAATGAATTCAAATCAACCCTATCAAGTACCATCATTTTACAAAATTCAAAATTCCTTTAGCATATGCTCGACATATATGCATGTTTTTTAATAGGACACATATCTAATCCTCCAAATCTTAGATATTAGCGTTGATGAGATTTGTGATGATAAGACATGTTTAAATTCATTATCTCAATCAAACACAACCAACTTGTAGTCAAAGAGTGTGAGCTTTCCAACTAGCCGGTAAAAATTGTTTGATCAACCATATAAATACACCCTTCAATGCCTTCTAAGAAAATCATTTAAAAAGAAATTCTTTGTACTAAAGTGTACAACGAAGGAAAATCTGCTAAGATCAGTAAAAATACCGGAGGATTATGCCCCTAAACAGTCGTGTTTGAATTTTCTATTGAAAAATCAATGGATGTTCAACCGGTTCAATTTTCAGCTAAAATACCTGCTAATTTTACATCTGGTCTTCATGTTAACTTGTCTCTAGCTCACTTGTTGCCTAAAATTCAATCGAAAAATATTTCTGACAAATTGATTCTATGTTTATCTGTCGATTTTAATTGCTTTTCATTTTAAACCAGTAAAATGTTCATCATGTCCACCTCTACTACTAAAAACCTTTTGTAACTCCCTCCCACCAATCTTGATTTCGCCCCAAACCATCGCCATTAAACCATTTACAGTTAAAGCTACTGGGAAGAAGAATGGGTTGCCACATAAGAAGACCTCCAAAACTCTAAAATTTTTCCTCCTAGTCCACTCCTAAAAACATTGAATAAGGTAAACCTCATCCTTCTCTTCCTTCACACTACATTTCAACTTCTCTGAATCCCTTAAATACATCTTCAAACGGGACTTACTAAGTCCAGGATTCAGACAAAATGGAGGGAAAATGGGATTCAAGAATCTATGGGATTTAAAGTTGTCATATTTGTTATTTGATAGAACTAAATGTTGAATCCTGGACAAATCCTACTACCCAATAGTTCCTCTGGGTTCGGATACTCATAATGTTCTAAAGGCTATGCATTTAATTATCCCTTTAGGTTTGGGCAATTACATACATAGCACTCCAAACAACCCCTTGGCATTTAGGCAATTAGGGTTATTGGAAGATTTACATGCAAACCACTGAATTCTGTGTATCTGCATATATAATATCTAAACTTCAATATTTACATTTACGTGTCATGTCTATACCTTAAAATGTGCATTTCACTATTTAAAGGTTAAAATATGGACTATTTTGATGTGTTATAAACGTTTTACATGGTCCAAGTAAAAAAGAGAAATTTAGACGTTAGATATGTAAGCATATAAGAATTGGGTCCTATGTATGTAAATGGCCCGTGATTTTTTTTGGTAAAATTCATATAGCAAGCTGAAATTTGGTAGAGATGTGTCTATGGTTTAGGTGTTAGATAATTAAATATAAAAGTGGAGTTGAACTCGAGCCACCGTTAGCTCGAGCTTTATTAATTAATAAAATTTGAGCTCGAGCTCATGCTTAATTCTATTGTTTTAAGCTGGCTCGTGTGCAAGCTTGTGAGAGACAAAAATTAATATTAATTAAATTTCATGTTATAATAAAATGACAAATAGAAAAAACAGATACCAAACTAACAAATCGAGTTGGCGCTAGCTTGAGGTTGGCTTGTTAGTTCATTGAGCTTAGTTTACGAGCCACTAATTGAGTCACACACAAGTCGGCTTTGCTCAATTACAGCCGCGGTATTATGTATGTAAATGCCATTATACATAACATTAGGATTTGGTTTAGGTTTAGGTAGGGTTCGCAAAATATACATTGAACATTCTACATAGAATTCATTTAATAATTATTCACATACAAGTTGCTCAATTCCTAGGACTTAACTGATTTAAAACCTAAATTTCATTTTTTTTATATCACCTTAGCTATGCATGAAAATGTGTTTTTAACTTTATAAAACTTAAATGGTGGTATTTTAGATATGATATGAAATAGTTGATGTACTTATGTATTTACATATCTAAAACCTTAATTTCAATTATTACTTACATACTTATGAATGCAAATTTCTACTCAACTGATGAGTTCAATGTGTTTGTCCTGAAATATATAGGTTGTTAATAGATATCTAAAATGCAAGATCATGAATGAACAATAGGTTTCATCCGAATAAAAAAGAATTAACAGATGAGGTTTTGAATGATGATAAGTTTTACATGCAAGTGACATCGCAGCTTCATACTTACCTTTCAAAGTTTATGTTTTGATGTTCATGTGCGAAATACAGGAATCAACATACCTAACACCAGGTGAATTAAGGTTGGGTTTATAAAGTAAGCAATTTCAATCAAATTACTTATTTTGGAATTTTACTGGGAGAATGCGAACCACACATTAATTCTCAAGGCAGTATGTCAACGAGCTCGGTTCTTCTAAGTGAGTATAATTTCAATAGATTTTAAGAAATGATATTTGATGCAATAAGTGTTGTCGATCAGTGGATGAGGAGTCACCAAACAAAAAAGCTTAAAAGTTTTATGAATCGGTCGGCCAAGAATTTGGTTCCGATCAGAATTTTGAAAATGATTGATTTAATTTAAAATATGTAATTTTGATTTTGATAATTATAGATAAGAGTAATTATAGAAATCTAGAAATGGTGATAGAATCTAGAAATGGTGTAGGTGTAATTATAGATAAGAGTTTGAAAGATAATGTTGTAAAAATTAATAGAGTTGGTGATAGAATTATAGCCCTTAAGATTATCATTGATACTAAGATTTTTAATATTATAAGTGTTTATGCTCCTCAAGTAGGTTCTAAAGATAAATTTTGGAATGACTTAGAAGACTTAATACAAATGA